AATTAAAAAAAAAAAAAAAAGAAGAAGTCGGAGCCAGAGAAGTAAATCAGGGTTCTCTAGTACCAAGTTCTCTGTAACAACCTGAATAATTAGTCATTCACTTTGACACAAAAAAAATTTAAGTGTCAAGGCAAACTTTCAGAGGGTTTTTAATGCCAAGTTAGGATTTCAAGTGACTTAATACAAAAAAACAAAAGTTAATCAGAACAGAACCAGATTGTCTCAGATTCATTTAGTTCTTTCAAAAAATAGTTTAAATTTTATATTTTAGAATAAGATTCAATTACTTGCATTTTACATTAAAAAATAGTAACTGACGTTTTATATTGCAGCTGTCAAATTCCTTCAGCTACATTTTTTGTTTAACTTGCATAATTATTTGCCCAAAACCTGTTGTCATCTAGTCTATTCCAGCTGCCCCATAGGGTTTCCAAGGAGCGGCTGGTGAATTTGAACTGCCCACCTTTTGGTTGACAGCCATAGCTCTTAACCACTGTGCCACCAGGGCTCCAAATTATTTGCCCAGTAAAGCTTGACAGTTCTGTTCCACCAATGAAAAATATGAAGATGTAAGTTGCACAGATGGTTGGTTTCAGAGTCTAGATTGAACCCTAGCCTTGTGATTCTTCCAAGTCTAGTGCTTTTCGTACAAACCTTTCAGAGAAGGTTTGAGGAGTTCATAGTCTTAGAAATCTGTGAAGGCACAAGTATGCAGCATGCCTATTTCTCAGACCAGACGTGCTGTATGTTGGGATTATGTGGCCATGATGGGAACCTGCCTAAGACAATGTGAAACTGAAATCATGGAATGATGTCAAATATTAACCATCTCCCAGAATAGGTAGCACCTGTTGTGAATTTCTTAACACAGTACTAAGTTGTATGATTTCACTGACTTCCAAATATTATGCACTGAATGTTTAATAGTATCACTGGGAAGAATGGATGGAAACCAAATTGTGGGACTGGACTCCCTGATTTTTGTGTTGGTTCCTGTAACACAAGCTGACAAGTGTGCTACTGAAACTTGGCCTGGGTGATGAAGAGCTCTGGGTGTGGCCAGGGACACAACCACTGTTCCTTTTCTCTGTGGCCCTGGATGTCAGATTTGAGTCTGATGCAACAATTAAAAAATTTTTTCTTGTGGGAGAAAAAAAGCCCCCCTCCTTTTTTAGGGGTTGTACACAGGCTAGCGGTGTATGGAGAAGGAATTCTAAAACTAACCATGTTGTATACAGGGGATAATGGTTTGTATATGTCTTGAGGGGCTAAATGACTGATACTGTTCCATGTATAAGAAAAAGACTATTGCACTGAGGCCAAATGTATGAGCTATGTGAAGGGGGTGCCTTCTTTTTGTTGTTCCAGATAGTACTTTACAAGCTGAGTTCTGAAGCACTCTAGGGGTTAGCAGAGGTGCCTTGGAGAGGCCCACGGAGGCTGGGTGGTCTCTGGTGACAGTGTTCCCTGTCTGTGATGATGGAAAGGGTCTTCTAGAGGAGCACGGGGACTGCCATGGCTGTCAGCCCCAATCTGAGCTACTCTTCTGGTTGTCTTTGCCACACGATGTAACTTTTCCACTTGGAAGGGTTATTGGTGCACTTGGCAGCCACTTGCCTGGTAAACGATATGGTGGGGCCTCCACAAATCCAGTCCCTTGAAACGAATAAGTCAGCACATTGGAAATATAGCATGGAAATGACTCAAGCCTGAAGGAATCTGTTTCTAAAAGTGCTGCCATCCCTTCTTGGAATATTTTGGTGGAAACTGATGTTTGAGTTGGGAGGAGGAAACCTGGTTATTAGCAGGGTGATGTGTCAAAGTCAGCAGCATTTGTGCCGGGGTTCAGCCCTTCCTGCCCTAGACCACGGGGCCATCGACTGGACAGCAGCAGGAGCCCGGCGCCATGAGAAGCTAGTGTGAAGCTACCTTGCAGCAGATAGGGTTGACTCCGCGAGCCAGCCTGGTAATGCTTGGCCAGGTGCCTGGAAAGTATTGGAAACTCCACCCAGCATGGGAGCCTATGGGAGTTCTCCAGCACGGGTGGGTTATTCTTCTCAGAGTTCTTTGGAATCCTGCACATTTGAGTTGTTTACCTTCTTCTCAGGACTGCAGCTTTTTCTTTGCCCACCAGAGACCAAGACCAAGCATATGCATACTTAAATTTTGTAGACCACCCTGGTGACTAGATAATTAAAGCTGCACACAGTGTTGGAAGCAAGGCTGTGTTGGAAATCACGCTCCACTGTAATTCAAGAACAGTTTTTTTAATAGAGGGGGACATGTCAGGCACATGTGGAAAAGAAAAGAACAGGCCCATAATCTTGGCAGGGTACCAAGGGCCAGATGTTAAATATACTGACCATAATATGGCAGCAGTTATCGCTAGCCAACCTGAACTTGATGTGTTATTTTAACCTGTCTTTCTATCTTTTCCTTTCTTTCTGCCAGGTTCCCAGTTTATGTGAAGATCTCCTGTCTTCCGTTGACCAGCCACTGAAAATTGCCAGAGACAAGGTGGTGGGAAAGGATTACCTTTTGTGCGACTACAACAGAGACGGGGACTCCTATAGGTAAGGTCGTGTCCGAGAATGCAGCGCGTCAGGCCGCATCCTGGGTCACTCGTTGCTGCCTGCTGCGGGAGCACAAGGGCCACTGAACTCTGTCAGTTTGACAGGCCATCCATCCTTCTTTCTGTTTGTCTGCCTTTCCTTCTTTCTTTTCATCCAGCCATCCAATCAGCCAACAGATTTATTTGTGGAATGGCTCCAATAAGCAGTGGGGATATAACATTGAACAGAAGGCCCCTGCCCTTGTGGATCTTACACTCTAATTAATTATAATTGTGTTAAGTCCTGCACCGGGGAGGTACCAAGGTACCAAGAGAGTATTTGATAGGGATCTTAGTCCTAAAGGCAAGGACAGTCTCTGTGATTAAAGGACATGTGAACACAGCTTTGTCAACAAATATGCAACTCTCCTTTCTCTTTCTTTCACTGTGCTAAGGGCTGGATATGTGTAAATAACCAAGATGGCATTAGCCCCGCCCTCAGTGATCATCTGATCTAGAATAGGAGACACAGTCTGCAGCTGGTTACTGTGTGATGTGATTCATGCATCCAGCACATATCTTGTCAGGGTATGGAAATAGTGCAGAAGAGGTTGTGATTGACTCCAGGAGGGCATCCTGAAGGAAGTGGTCTCTGACCTAGGTTATAAAGGATGTCTAGGAGTTCTTTCTAGGAAAAAAGAGCAGGAATCCCTAAACCAGTCTAGTATTTCCGTGATGGATTGTCTTAGCTAGAGCCAATGCCTTGGAGAACAGTGTAGGAATGCAGTCTGCTTTAACTTATTTAGAACCTGGGCTGGGTCTTGAAGCTTGAGCCTAAAGCTCTCTTCAGAGGGTGGGTCTGAGAAGTAGAAGCAGAAAAATATCTGGAATCAGCAGATGTAGGCTCCAAACCAGCACTGTCCCCTGTTAGCAATGGGGCCTTTAACAAATGACTTACTATCTCTCATACTTAGCGTTCTCATCAATAAAATGGAAATAATAGTATTCATTCGTTCAACAGAGCGCTCAATAGCCTTTTTCTGTATGCATGTACTATGTGGTGGCACTATTCTGAGTCTCTTTTTATGGAACTTATAGCCTAGTGAGGAAGCCAGACACACTTTTCAGATTATGAAAAATGTTCAGGACAATAAAAAGGACAAGGGGAGAGAGAGACAAGATAGATAGACAGGGAAAGCTCTCCCTTAAGTAATAATGTTTGAAAAGAGACTTCAGGATAAGTCATACACAGGTGTGGGTTAAGAACATTTCAGATGGAAAGTCCCTGGGTGTAGATGAGCTTGTCGAGATTGAGCCCAGCAAGAAGGCCAGAGCTGGAGCGTCGTCAAGGGTGGAGGTAAGGCCAGAGGTATGGCAGGAGCCTTGAAGGCCACGCCAGGGGTGATGGGACTTAGTGCAGAGTTGTTGGGGGGATTAAAAGAACACATGTGAAGTGCTGATGAGCACAGAACTTGGCATAAATTGTAAAGGTTTAATACTGACTTTTTAAGAAACTAAGTAAGTCCTGGTGATGCAAACGGTTAAACACTCAGCTGCTAACCAAAAGGCTGGCGGTTCGAACCTATCCAGCGGTCCCTCAGGAGGAAGACCTGGCAATCTACTTCTGTAAAGATTACAGCCAAGAAAACCCTTTGGGGCAGTTCTACTCTCACATCTGGTCGAAATCGACTCGACGGCACCTAACAACACCAAGTGCCTTATAATCCCATCCCTTTCCTGGCTTCATATGGAAGCCAGGTAGATACTAGAGTGGAGATGGGGAGAAGTGGCCAGATTTGAAGTAAATTTTAAAGGTAAAGCCAGCAACATTTGCAGGTGGAATAGGTGTGGAAGAATAAGATGTGAAAGACATTTGTAGGCTTTTGGCCTGAGGAGCTGGAAGGTGGGAGTTGCTTTATGTTTGCAATGTGGAGATGTCAGGTAGACTGTGGGTGTCCAGTCTGGAGTTCTGAAAGCGTGGTCTGGATTAGAGATGTAAATGTGGGAGTCCCCAGCATGGATGGTGATACAGTCCTGAGAGACATTGAGGTCACACAGCCTAAAAGAGGAGGGAGCACTGCCGAAGAAGAGAAGGGGAGCGTGGAAGGAGCATCATGAGCTGGAAGGAGATGTGAGGCCTTGGTGCCTGGGAGGTAGGTAATTCATAGTGTCCCCATTCCAGGATAAGAAATTAAGGTTAAAATTGGTGAAGAGACTGCCAAGATCACACTGCTGATGCTCACACGCAGTTCTGTCTGACTCTGAAGATCGCTCACCACGCTGTGCCGCCTCAGGCTCACCACCCATCGGCAAGCCCCAAGACCCCCGGACACCAGTTTGTCTGCGTGGACATTGCCTTTCCCGTTGGGGTTGCCATTGGCCCCCAGGTCCCGGCTGGATGGCAGCTGTTTATCTCATATGTCAGCTCCTCCTGCCACTGAGCCATGGTCCTTGGGGCCACCCTCTCTCTGCTGTCTCTCCCCTGCAGGTTTTGATGAGTTTCATGGTGAGACAGGTGCTGTTCCCAGAGAGTCCTTTGAACTGCAGTCCCCAGAGGGTCCTCTGGCCTAACGGAGAACCCTGGACTGCTGCAGGGTGGAGGGCTTTCCCTCCCCTAGCCCCAGAGCTTGTTAGGCTGGTTGCCAGAGGTGTGTGCTGAGGAATTGTGACAGGCTGGTAGCTTCTGTCTGTATTTTTATTTGCTTATTTTAAAAAGTAGCAGCTTATTGACTATTCTAGAACGTTGTCATGCCCGACATACAGTAGGCATTCAGTATATGTTTGAGCAAATGGAAACAGTAAACGCTTTAGATTTAGACTGGGGTTTAAAGTTGGCTGTACCTCTCGCAGCTATGAGACCTGGGGCACATTCCTCACCCTTTCTCTTCTATAAAAAACTAATATGCCTAGTTTTTTATAGGATCATCACGTTGAATGAAGTAAGGATGCAAAGCGCATAGCCTGGGTCTGGGTGCATAGTAAGTGCTCAGCAAATGGTAACTGAGATGATTGATCAGAAATGTGCAACAGTGTGTCTGCTGCATAGTAGATTATGCTAATTCCCTTGATTCTGGTGCCTTTTAGGCCCTCATCTCTCCCAACCTGGTGTCTTTTCTCCTCCTACTTTCCTGGCCTGAGCAGATAATTTGTTTTGTAGAAATTAAGAGTTCAGAGGGAATGTATTGTGCTCTGGACTGTGACCCTGCTCTCCTGCTTTTTCTTGTCCTCTGTTCCTTCTACCTAGAACAGCCTTTATGCCTGAATTCAAAGATCTCTCGATGAAGGGAAGGAAGTGGGAATAAAGCAGATATTGGAACATCTTCAGAACATTATTCCTTTCCTTCCCTCATCAACGTTCCTTGAGTATCACTTGCCAGGCCCAAGGCTCGACAAAAGAAAAAGGGAAAGATGTTTAGAGGAGGAGGACGACGTGGACTAGGAAGAGCAGCTGAGAGGCCCTTCTTTGTGCGCTCAAACATTTTTATTCGGGTTAAGGCTTGAGCTTCAAGAAAAGAGTTATCCCAGCAGGTCGGCCTCCAGGTGAGATGATGCTAGAACACCTGCGGCCTCTGTCCTGATGATTCAGGTGGGGACCTCCTCGTGCACACCTGCATTTTCTCTGGGACCTCTGCTGGTAAGGTTTTCCTCAAGCACAAGGCCCTCGGCAAAAGAAAGGAGATTCCTGCACTTGGAGCAGGAAGGAGTCAGTTCCCTGCGGGTGCTTCAGGGCCTCCTTAGAAGTTGTGTTGACATAGCATTTACCTGGGGACATGGAAGATGTGCACAGCTGGTCCTTCCAGCAGATCACAGTGTGGGAGCAAGGGCTTGTGGGGCTGTGGAGGCATCTAAGATCAATAAAATACTGTCTCTGCCGTCGGTCTAGACCAGAAACAGTTCAACTAAGCATTAAGGCTATTATCTACTATTTCTCAGTTTGTGAAATTATTTGCATTTCTTAAATCTCTTAATGCAGTGTGTGATAAAGTTTAGTAAAATATTAATGGTAAAAATCTAGGCGGTGTGTATATAGGTGTCCACTGTAAAATTTTTTAACTCTACTGCATGTATGTTTGAAAAATTTCATAAAAAAAGTTAGAAAAATATTGCATACGTAATGTGTTTTGGGTATGTTCCAGATGTTCTTGTTATTGCTTCGTCTACGAGGTGTGTTCTGGTGGCTTTGCACTTGGGGTGTAAAGAAGCCCCTCCTGGCCCACCTTCAGTGGACACCTCTTGCTCACCACACTCAGCTCTGGGATTCACAGCTCATGCCATTTGAGGCCAAGGATTTTTTTTTTTTTTTAACCCTGTGACCATAAAGGAAATCACAGCCCTAACTAGCCAGCTGGGCTCGCTCGAGGACCACACACAGATCCTAGCATCTAGCAGGCTCACAGCACAGGAGGGAGGGAACTGAGCCCTAGGATTAATCAGTACTGAATTTTTAAACCCTAATATGAGAACTAAATGAGACCTTAGAGAGATCTAATTCGTGGTTTCCACAACTCTTCCTCTTTTGTGAACCTGCAGAACTTGTTTTTCAAAGCTTTTGTGAACAGCTCAATTTGTACCCGTAAGCATAAGCAGAATTGGGGGAAATGGTTCCAGAGTACTGCTGATTCAACCAAGCTAGCTCCTGAAGGGCTCTAGACCACCCATCTCCCCCATATTACAGGCAGGAAAGCTGCAGGAATGAAAATGACTGCCTACATGATGCCAATGGTTAACGCACTCAGCTGCTAACCGAAAGATTGGTGGTTGAAATCCACCTGGAGGTGGCCTCAGGAGAAAGGCCTGGGAGTCTACTTCCGAAAAATCAGCCTTTGAAAACCCTATGAAGCACAGTTTTCCTCTGATACACAGGAGGTTACCATGAGTTGGAACTGACTCAGTGGCAACTGATTTTTTTTAAATGAGCGATCAGGGCCAGAATTACAGCTCAGACCTCTTAACTCTTGGCTCAGTGTTGTTTCTTCTACACTAGTGGGTCTTGACTGGGAGCAATTTGTCCCCCCCCACCCC